ACATTGTATAAGTAAAGAGAACAATGTGCTAACAAATCCCACAATTTCGTATCTGTTTTTTGAAATATATTAACTTTATGATTTTAGGAAAGCCAATTTTTTTGTGTTTTGGCTTTATTGATGTAAAATGAGGATTGAAATGATAAGATATTTGTTAAGATAAACTGAATTTTAGTGGATAGTTTTTGGAGTATTGATGTAGATAGTTCTAGATCATACCACTGTATTTGAACTACTAATGGGGACATGTTAAGCCAATTTCATCTGCTCTGATAATTCAAGGCAAGGTATAACATCACAAGGAAGTCAGCATTATATAATTTTCAAATCTGTGTAATACAGAGTGAGTCAAGGAACAAAAAAAAATCAATAACAAAAATACATTTTCAAACATTATAGTATACCAGAAATGCAGGTAAGGAATGAGAGAAGTGAGAAGCAACAGTGATCAAATGAGGCTAGTGTCCAGCTTAGCTTGATTCTGCAGAAGTTGGCTTAGTGAGGGAAATAAGCAATAACGGTGAGCAAAGAAATCCACATTTCTAAGCTAATGTTCTTGACAACCACAAATATTTCAAAGTAGGTAGGGAATAAATGCTTTTATAATGTGAAATTAAGAAGCAAGAGATGAATAGCGTATTGATGAAGCAATCATTTCTGTGCAACCTGAAAACTAAGAATTCAGAAAGGAGGAAAGTTACAGAAAGATATTCCCATGCAGATTACGGAGATTAGATTGTCTGAAAAACTGACCAAAAAGTCTGGAGATGACTTATTATATAGTGTAGAAAGTGGTAGCATCTATTATCATGTCCTTTCATGGAAGCTGTATCATCCTTGCTGAAAACACAAGAAATTATCAGCAATATAGTGAGAGGAGAACACATGTATCCAAGCTAGACTTTGCTAAGCCTTCACCAAAGAAGAAAACGATCTTGTGAGACCATTAAGATATAAAATGGCTGTGTTAATCACAGTTGATTTTACTGCAATGAAAACACCAGACAGCTTTTTTCAAGAAGGATCTATTTTATTAATGAATCAGATGGTTTGAGTCAGTTATGACTAGGAAAGTGTGGAGCAACAGCTAAGTCCACAAGAAGCAAAATGTGCAAGGCAGGAAGGAAGCAGGAGCCTCTTTCAACCTTCCACGGCCTGAGCAAATGAGCTTCTTCTGCCACCTGTGCACCAATTCCTAAAGGTTCCTTGATTCCAAAAATCTCACCAGTTGGAGAACAAATATCCAAACCATGATCTTGTGGAGGACATTTCAAATTCAAATCAGAGCACAGAATAAAAAGATTCAAAGAGCATTGCAGAAGAGAACTTAAATATTTTGAAGTCTTATATGACATGGTGCTGTGGGATGGTCTGTATGTCAAATGTGTTGCTGATTGGTCAATGAATAAATCACTGATTGGCCCGTGGCCAGGCAGGAAGTGTAGGCGGGACAAGGAGGAGAATAGAGCTGGGAAGTGGAAGGCTGAGAAGGAGACACCGCCAGCCGCCATCAGGATAAGGAAGATGTAAAGTACCGGTAAGCCACAAGCCACGTGGCAAGGTATAGATTAATAGAAATGGATTAATTTAAGCTGTAAGAACAGTTAGCAAGAAGCCTGCCACGGCCATACAGTTTGTAACCAATACAAGTCTCTGTGTTTACTTGGTTGGGTCTGAGTGGCTGTGGGACTGGCAGGTGAGAGAGATTTGTCCTGACTGTGGGCCAGGCAGGTAAACTCTACCTACAACATGGAAATCAGAAAAGAAAAATAAAAACAGTGTACGGAGAGCACGACGGAGCACAAAAATATGGAGAAGGATGGAACTTGTCACCATAACTAGAGGTAACTTCATAGCTGAGTTTAGAACTCATGGTCTCTTAAAGAATTCAGTTGATCTACCATTTCTAAGATGCTGTAGCATGTATGAAACTAGTTTCTCCTCAAGCTAATGACATGTGGCTGGTCTTGTGTCAGAGCAATATCAGTGGGAACACTGGTTTATCCATAACCAGTCCTTCTGGAAACCATAAAGAAAAGGGGCATTTCTCATTTGCTTCCCACTGAATAGGCAGCATTAGCTTGCATCTATGATATCTTACATATGAAAGTCATTCCTGGATAATAAATTTGAATTAGAAAATTAGTTAAAAAAGAATAATGGAGGATGTTGAGAGAATATATTTTGGTGGTTGCTGCCTTATTTAGATTATTTTCTTGACTTTCCTATAGAACACATTTAAATACATTTACAAGTTACTAAAATGTTGGTAAATATATCTCAAACATATTTTAGTTGTTTTTGTTGTTATTGTTTGCAGATAGTGTCTCCTGTCCTGGGATGGCCTTAAAAATCCTAGGTATGTAACCACTAATGACACTGAGTGCTGATCCTTGTCCTGTATAATAGGCATATTATACACGCATGGTTTACTACATAACAATTTTGTCTTAGAATTGTCTTGAAACTCTTCTCATTCTACTTATCAATAAAGCTCTAGAAACTAATAAAAGTCTCAGTAAATACACAATAATCTTATGTGTATTAATCTTATTGTGATCATTAAGCTGTCCTTTGTCCTTCAAAAATATTTCTTATGTTATTTAAAAATTAATACACATTTGATAATAACATTAAAAAATGAAAAAAAAAAGAAAAACAAATCAAAAAACAAGTTTTAAGAAAAATGCTTGCTATTCATTTCTTACAATGGTCTATTAACAAAAAGAGAGATGGAAAAAAGTATGTCCTACCAGGCATTTCCAACAGTTTTGATAACAAATCAAAAAACAAGTTTTAAGAAAAATGCTTGCTATTCATTTCTTACAATGGTCTATTAACAAAAAGAGAGATGGAAAAAAGTATGTCCTACCAGGCATTTCCAACAGTTTTGACTTGTGGATGAGATGCTGTCATCTACAGTGTTCGCAGTCTAGAAATACAACTGAGTTCAGAAAATAGAGGCCAAAATATGTCCAGCTCATGTGGGTTGTAAAATATAGTTCTTTGTATAGTATTTCATAATTATGAAGGTACCTGGAAATTTTAGTAGAAAATTTTGATGTGTCGGATAGTAAAATAAGATATAAAATAATTTTATTTACAGAAGTAGTCTAAAAGTTTTGTGAGCTATATAATTTGTTGCTTGTAGAATGTACTGGAAAAATTATGATTTCTTAGAATGAATTCTTGGAAATCTTGATTTTTAAACTTAACGTTTAAATTCGAAGGCTGTGGAAAACAGAACACCCTTAGTGAAGGCCTGAGTGAGTGTGTGCTGTTTTACATGGTCACAGCCATGTAGAGAAGTCCAAAGCCTCAGCCCCAAGGAGGGGCAACATCTTCCTTGGAGACTTGAGTGTGAATGTTGAGAGTGTGTCAAAAAAACTCCCTCACAACTTTCTCCTTTGCGTATTTCATACCTGAAGACTGTTACCTAAAGGTACTGCACTAATGGATATTTGCTCAACCTGTCTCCTTGTTTATCTTTGGATAATAACACCTGCTTCTTGTTCAGTTGTACACAACAACCTTCCACACTGTCCACCTGTGTATAATCAACATGCTAAGCTTCAAGGGTAACACTGTTTCTCCATCAGGGACCAGTGCACTCAGTATCAATTGTTGTATTCATTTGTATGTCTGTATTTTCTTCATTAGTTTATCACTCTAGTCGAGCCCACGCCTGGAGCTGTGCAAGGATGGCGCACAAAAAGAGAGATGGAAAAAAGTATGTCCTACCAGGCATTTCCAACAGTTTTGACTTGCGGATGAGATGCTGTCATCTACAGTGTTCGCAGTCTAGAAATACAACTGAGTTAAGAAAATAGAGGCCAAAAAACACCCCATTGCAAAAATTTCTCATACTTTTAACACTTTTTGTTTCCTCCATTTGTAGATATCCTTGTCTGTGTATGGTTGATGGTCTGTTGGTACTAGCTTGGGATTGCCTGTTAATATTTCACCTTCAACTGAACTATTGGTCTTTAATTGTGATACAATAATGAGAGATTTATGAATGAGAGGAGCTCTTGGTAACTGTTTCTACACAGAGAACATGTCCCCTGCCATCATCAACAAGCTCTAAGGTGTTTCAAAGAACTATGGCTCTTGTCTGTGAAGAATAACATGTAAGAATATATAAACAATAGAGAAACATATCTACTCATGTCTAGATTCCTGAAGTTGGCTTTCAGGCATTTTTTTCAACATGTTTTGAGATAGAACTAATGGTAATTTCAGTATATTTTTTTTCTTGGTTCTAAATGGATTAAAAACCCTGTAAACACATGTCAGTTGCTGGCATTACAGATATGCTTAGGTCATTAACAAACAAACAAACAAACAAACAAACAAACAAAAACTATACTCTGCATGGCTAGACAATTGTGTAACTTGATTTGCTTGGGGGGCCCCCTGGCAGTAGACTCAGAATCCATCCCTGATGCATGAGGGGGCTTTTTGGAGCTTACTACCTATGATGCGGTACTGTGTGCAACCTCGAGGCAGGGGGAAGGCTTGGACTGGATGTGCCTCCCCCTGGGACACCTTGCCTTCTTATGGGATGAAATGGGGGAATCTGGGGGGGGGCGGAAATCTGGGAAGGGCAGGAGGAAGGAAGCAGGGGTTCTCTGATTGGTGTGTAAAATGAAAAAAAAAATGTTTCTTAATAAAAAATGAAAAAAAAAGAAAAACAAATCAAAAAACAAGTTTTAAGAAAAATGCTTGCTATTCATTTCTTACAATGGTCTATGACCATCAAAATTCTCTCAAAGGGTAAAACAGTCGTATGCATTAACAGTTTGACTAATGCTACCAACAGTTATCTGTAACTCAGAGAAAACTAAGGAACTAAATATTTTTGTTCATTTTTCAGGCCTTTATTTAGTTCCCAGGACCCAATATTGAGCACTTCAATTTCTGAGGCTTCTAACAACACTGTATCACCTTCGAATTCTGGTTTATGTTCCGGAATGCCGATGATTGTCAGGGCATTGTGGTTACGTTCTTAGGTCACACTTCTTCTCTGGGTCATTTTTCTGCGTTTGCCCCGGGAGGTTGTTTGTGATCTTTCCCTGAAGAATATTATTCCATTCTTGCAGGATCTTTGCCTCTTCCTGCAGGGCGACTCCCTCATCTTGCAGAGCCCCATGCTCTTCTCTCAGTGCCTTGTTCTCCTCCCGAAGAGCCTGCTCTTCCTTCCACAAAGCCTGTTCCTCCATCTCCAGAGCAGCTCCCTCCTTTGTGAGGGCCTCCTGCAGCTCAGCCGCTCCTTCCCTCATCAGGACTTTCCCTTCCATCCTGAGAGCCCTTTCCTGGTGCTGGAGAGCCTTGGTCTCCTCATGCAGGGATTTGATCTCCTCATGCAGAGCCTTAGCCTCATGCTGGAAGGCTTTCTCTTGCTGTCTGAGAGCTGTGATCTGAGCCTCCATGGCTTGATTCTGTTGCCAGTAGGACTTTTTTTCTGTGTTCAAGGCACTGAGTTCTTCGCCAGAGAGTTTTTGATTCTCTACAATCAACCTTTTCACTTTCCGGAGTAGCTGGTTCTGCTGCCTTAGTATATGATTCCTCTCCCTGATGAATTGGTTGTCCATCCGAAATGTTTTATTTTCTCTTCCTAAGGCTTTGTTTTCCCCCCACAGGAATTTGTTGTCTTTTCTCAGAGCCTTGTTTTCATCTCTCAATGCCTTATTTTCTCTACAGAGGTTTTCTTCCACCTCATGAGATTTATGCTTGAATTTACTTTGATCTCGGGTACAGGAGAAACAAGAAAACAATCGCAGTATTTTCCCTTTATGTATTTGTTTGGATCGAGAGACATCCATTGTTTGTCTGTTCACTACTGATAATCGCGACAGAAGATGTCCTAAATCTGTTCATGTAGTCTTGGCTGTCTGTTGAGTCCTTAGTGAGTAATACAGCAGGTAACTGTTCAAAGCTTAGCAAGGAGCGCTGGAAGAGAGAAAATGAAGATAGAAATAAAAGTTAGTAGATTTACTATTCGGTTGATATCATGGAAATGGAAGTTAAATCTAAACACATATAAATTATAATTTAATTACTTTTTCTGCATCAGGCATGAAATTGATCAAGAGTAATGAATTGAATTGTTGGTGTTCATAAGCTAAGCTATTTTTAAACAATATTAGTGTTTTATATTATCATGTATTAGCTTTATTAATTTATTGTCTTTTTTAAATGTGGTACCCGCTAATATGAAAGCTTACTACTCCTTCAAGAATGTTTCAATTTGAACAACTTCTAGTTAAAAAAAAAAAAAAAGAAAGAAAAGAAAAACTGGAGAAGACACTGAAGATATTTCAAGGCAATATAAACTAATGACTATAGCATTTAGTTAGCTTGCTAGGAGAGGTAGAGATTTGGGTAAGCAGCCTCACTTACATTGCTGTGTTCTCTAAGTCCCTTGAAAGCCTGGTTTCTGTTAGTAAAAGAAAACATCCAACATTGTGTGTCACTACAGTGATGTCACTTAGTGCAACACTACAAATGTCATGGGCTACATATGTTGTCTTTGGCTTTTTAAGGCATGTCTTTTAGGACAATAAAGAAGCTTATATTTAATGTATTGTTCTTAAATTAATGTAACTATAGTGCTAAGTGACACATAAATTCATTTTAAATTAATGCTTGCAACATTAGTCAAGTATTTTATTATTGGCAAGTATTTGTATTGTTATTAATAAATAATAAACAACTTCAGTAGTTGAGGATATGTTAAAAAATTAAGACCGCTATTGAATCATCTGAGAGAGGTAAATTTGTATGTTAAACAAGTAGACATGTTAACATCTTAATTCTAGAAATCTTAACACAAATTTCATATTATCATAAAAAGAATTTTTAATTCATGCTTAATACTTTTATAGAATTTCCAGAACTGGAACTTTGAGTGATGAGGCACATGTGTAACTACTTTATATAACAGATGCTACGTTTCTAACTTTTACAAATTTCTCACTGTACTTGTATTTAAACCTTTATATGAAACACAATAAGCCCAAACCACCTTATTCACACTGGAATAAAGATTTGCCAATTCATTTATCTTACCAGAATTACTAGTGTTTTTTACTTGTGCTTAACAAGGTTGAAATATATTTTTACCTCTGATATTTTCATACTATCTAATTTAATTCATAAAGTAGCTAAAAACAGGAACTAAGATATTCCATAAACCAAAAGAATACATGTGAATGTGAAAGTGTGAAGAACCCATCAGGCTAAGATTGGCAGTAACTTAACTGAGAATGTGTTTAATTGAAATCTGTGGCGGCTTCTTCTTTGTACCATTGGTTCTATTTCTGTGCTCCTGGCAGCTGTGGGTTCAGGAATTCTCCAAAGCAAGTGCTTAGAATGTTGTGATGTCTGAACTTTTAGAACAAACAGAAAAAAATAAAATAAAGTTACTCTTGTCCTTGATCTAGTGAATAAACTGAATATAGAATTTGGTTTTATTCACTAATTCAATCTTATTAACCTTTTATAGGTTCCGCATGGTTTTATACATATGTATAATGTGGGATAATGGAACAAAGTTAATCTCTCTATATACATATGTGTATATAAAGTTACATTTTATATGTATACACACACACACATATGTGTACATATATAAACATTCAGTAATGAAATCGTTTTAAGAGTTCATCAGTTCTTGCAGGTGACAAAAAATAGTCTGAAATCAACTATAGCAAGAGTATTGTAAGAATGGAAACTACAAGCTAAAGTAACTCATGCACTACAGATCCAAATATGACAATGGACACATCAAATTTAATGATGAAAAAAATAAAACATCAAAAACAATCACTTAAAAACTGTTCTATTATTAAATTATTAAGTAATAAGATTATTCAGTGGACTTTTAGACAGCATGTCAACCAAGAAATCATAATCATCATCACATAGGGTAACTCCAAATTACATATATATATATATATATATATATGTATTCATATATATATATATATATATATATGAAGCTACAGTATGAATGAATTATAAAATTAGGTAAAAGAAAGGACAGAATCAAGTTAAATTTAGTCATGTTACCCGGAAAAACAAATATCAAATGATCACACACATATGAGAATGTAAGGCAGACCCTTTAGATTTGTCTGCTTAATTTGAAATACCTATTTACCTGAAATTTTTAAAAGGCCATTGGCAAGGAGGCCTAATGACAGATCTTTTTTTTTTCCTTTTTAAAGATTTATTTATTACATATACAGTGTTCTGTCTGCATGTATTCCTGCATGCCAGAAGAGGGCACAGAATCTCATTATGGGTGGTTATGAGCCACCATGTGGTTGCAGATACTAGAACTCAGAACCTCTGGAAGATCTGCCAGTGCTCTTAACCTCTGAGCTATCTCTCCAGCCCCATGAAGACAAGAGTGGTTGACATAGTAAAATACAGGTAACATGAGGAAGGGGAATAACAAGGGAGGAGGTTTAAATGGAGAAAGGTGTTATTCTCAGATCGCAGGGACCCACCCCCAAAAGACCACCACGGAGATCGAATCCTGCATGTAAAAGCAAAGAGCCTTTATTTCAAGATACAGAGCTTGGTCCCTCTGTCTGTACCACACAGCGGTGAGAGCAGAGAGCCCGGAGCTCAGGTGGGGCAGAATTTTTATCATAGTAGATGTTGGGGTGAGGGGATTTCCAGGGTCCAGGGACCCTGATTGGCTGACAATTGTCTAGGGGTATCTGTAAAACAAAAATAGGTGTGTGCTAGACTCAAGGAAATCTGGCCACCTTATCTAATTGTTGGAATGTTTGGGATGTCAGGTACTTCCTCATCCCTGGGTGGATCCCTGGGTAGTATCAGCCTAAGGCTTCTCCTGGATCTGAGTGTTGCCTGCCAGTAAGCCTGTCACAGAAGCTGTGTCTAGGCCCCTAAGCCTGTCATGGCTGCTGTGTGGTCAAGCTATTTTGGAGCCCCTTCACAAAAGGGCTGGAAGTGTAGGGCAGAGTAAGTGGTAGGAGGAGGGATAAAACTAAGGGTGCTTAAAAGGCATGTGGGAAACCTACTAATGTATGCCCATCATATGCACACATTCACAGAGAAAGAGAGAGAGACACAGAGAGGAGAGAGAGAGAGAAGAGTGAGAACGAGAGGTTTATTCATTGGCTGCTTACTATAAATAAGAACATTTTTCTTCTGTATTACTTCCGTTGTTTCTCCTTCATCTTTACAAGGTTTGCTTTTGATACTTTGCTGAAATTATTAATTCCATTTTTGGCAAATATACTATTTCTGATCTCTGTAGATCAATTACAAATTTCTGAATTTTTAGTCTTTGACATCCACACTATCCGTTTTGCTCTAAATTCCTTTCTGCTGTGTTATAAAACACTCTGATCAAAATTAGCATAGATGAGGAAAGGATTCCTATGAAGAATGCTTCGATGTACTGTCCATCACTAAGGGAAGTCAGAGCAGGAACTCAAGCAGGGACTTGAAGCAGAAGCCATGAAGGAAGCTGCTTCCTGTCTTGCTCTGATGTTCATGTTTATCTTTCTTAGAAGAAAATCATGCTGCTCAGAGTGGGCTGGATCCTCCTATATCAATCAATCATCAAGACAATCAGTTGGTTACACGGTGCTTGTGGCTGGCAGAAGAGAGTGCTGGAGGAGAGTCATGAGCCATAGTTATCTTTCTAGAGCTTTACTGAGAGAGAGAGAGAGAGAGAGAGAGAGAGAGAGAGAGAGAGAGAGAGAGAGAGAGAGAGAGAGAGAGAGAGAGAGAGAGAGAAACCTCATGGAGGAAACAGAAAATAGGGAAGGAGAGAGTTCAGAAAGAGAGAGCACAGAGAGGGCCCGCCTGCTTTTTAGGCTGGGACGCCGTTGGAGGCTAGTGACATAATTAAGGACATAATCCTTACAAATCTACCATGGATGTGCCCACAGGCCAGTCTGAATCTGAGCAATCCTGTGGGAGCCCATTTTCGGGTTCCTTGTGGCTTTACCCAGCAGGTCCGCATAGAGGGTGATTAGGACCAAGGACTTGAGTGCAGGTGTCTGAGATGGTCTGCACTTGGCTGTGCTGGGGGAGGAGGTCTTTTGCTCCACCCCTTGGCATCTCTATAAATACCCTGGGGCACAGACAGTCAGTTGGAAAAGGTCCCAGGCCCTCTGGAGGCTGTCCTTTATTTTCTGTTTATCTCCGCAATATTCTGTGCAATATAAATCCTTCTATCTAATATTTCCTGCTGCTCACACTCAAGAAAACTCTGGGGAGCTGTGGGGTTGGTGGGTAAACGCCTCATACAAGCCCTAAACTGAAAGTCCCTTCTCAGGTGACCCCAAGCCTCTTGAACTTCTTTCACCCTTATTAACCTGTCTATTAGTGTTTTCCTTCTTCAGCTCACATTTAGGCAACTATGCTGGTGAAACTTCATGGGTGTCACTTCTGACATTCTAGAAGACACAATCTCACAGCTAATTCAATTTAAAGTGAAGGCTTAAATGTTTGAAGTATCCATAAAATTCAGCTTTCCCATAACAAATATTGGCAGAAAGTTCATACAAAAAAATATTTAAAGAGATTATAAGAGACTAATGTTCATTTTCTTCTTCTTCTTTTTTTTTTGCATAAAGCCAAATCTTTATTTCATCTCTATTTCCTTAGAAAATGCTGAGCTTGTGAAGTAAGCAGTTAAAGCATGCATGCAAAAGCCACCTGGGCCAGCTCAGGTACAAGCATTAGCTCGCTGGGTCAGAAGTAATCTACCCTTTGCAGAAGGCAGCCTGCAGTCTCCAGACCTTTTGCTTGCTAAGCCCCCAACAGTTGGTTCTTG